CCCTCCATGAAGCCGATATGTCCACCACGAGCAGTCACTACAATAGCCACATGACTTGACTTATTTGCTGCTTCCACTGGGATACCTGAAATATATATTTCTATGTTGACATCTGATAACATTTTACATAGTTGAGAAAGAAATTTGTGGCCCCGGGCATCCACATAGGAACAGCATCCAATCAGAGAGGGATGTAAGAAAGTGATTTTGGAATTTATATCTAAATCAAATAAAGTGTTTACTTCATGTTTCATCTGTGTTTACATATATAAAATATTTCCCTTTCTCAAAATATATCTCAGAACTAGGCCTTATACACGAGTCTGTGAGGCATACAATCAATCGAGTTGGCCCTGGGCATCACCAACCCTCGGCTTACCCCTGTTCAAAACTCATTTATAATTGTTGAATTGAACTGCTCTATCCATCCTTATGAAAATTTAAGTATTTAAAGAAATTCTAAATGTTTTCCTGAGACTTGAAGGTTAATCATACCTTCCATAGGTTGGAAAGGGTCATCTGCTGCGGAGAGGCACAACAAAGGCACCTTAATGTTGTCAAGCTTGTCATGGAGGCAGGCAGTCCTATAATATTCCTCAACATCACGGAAACCAAACTGAACAGCCGTGAATCTAGAATCAAACTCTCTGATGGTCTTGCTCTGAAAATTTAAATATGTTCAAGTCATGTACTTTCTTGAATATCAAAATAAAACAATTTTCCCCTGAATCTACTATTTATAGATTTGCTGGGCTGACTTATGAAAAATATTTCACTTTAACAAGAGATCTATATATTTTCTTTTATTCATCTTTTCTTTTTTGATAACTCAAACCCAATACCGGGCAAAAACATCTATACTCAGTTACATAAGACAGAAGTATTTGATAAACTCTTGATATATATATACATTAAAAATCAATACCACATTGCCAGCAAAACAATCTCATTGCGAACAGAATCATCAAAACTCAAGAATCAAGAATCACCACTTGTGCCAGACATACAAAATTCATCAAAAGGCAGCCACTCACCTGCAGTACATGATCGAGGTCCCAGTTGTAGTTCCCTTCGAGCTGCTTCCTCATGCTCCTGATGGAGTCGACGAGGCAGTGGGCCAGGTGGCGGTTGAGCAAGAGGTTCCAAAGGGGTTTTTCAAGGCTCTCCGTGCCGACAAATACATTCCAGGGGATAGAGAGCACCATTGCCGCCACCAGGTGCTCTGCTGCCTTCTCTCCTCGAGTGGCTAGATAGTTCCCTAGAATCATCCTGTGGAGAAAAGGGTTTGTTATAATTTCACAAATAAAACAAGGGAATTGTTATATAAATGGTAAATGTCTTTTGGGGAGTGTGTGTGTGTGTGTGTGTGTGTGTGTGTGTGTGTGTGTGTGTGTGTGTGTGTGTGTGTGTGTGTGTGTGTGTGTGTGTGTGTGTGTGTGTGTGTGTGTGTGTATTCAACTTTGAGTTTGAGTTTATGCTTGAGTCTGAGTTTGAGTGTCTGTGAGTGTGAGTATGAGGTGGGTGTAGGTGAGTTTTGGTGCAAGTGTGAATGAGAGTGGATGTGGGTGTGGGTGTGGATGTGGATGTGGATGTGGGTGTGGTGTGGTGTGCATGTGGATGTGGATGTGGATGTGGATGTGGATGTGGATGTGGGTGTGGTGTGCATGTGTGTGGGTGTGGATGTGGATGTGTGGTGTGGGTGTGCATGTGGGTGTGGGTGTGCATGTGCATGTGGATGTGGGTGTGGGTGTGCATGTGGATGTGGGTGTGGATGTGGATGTGGATGTGGGTGTGGATGTGGGTGTGCATGTGGGTGTGGGTGTGGTGTGCATGTGCATGTGCATGTGGATGTGGGTGTGGGTGTGGGTGTGCATGTGATGTGGGTGTGGATGTGGATGTGGATGTGGATGTGGGTGTGGATGTGGATGTGGTGTGGATGTGGGTGTGGGTTGTGCATGTGGTGTGTGTGGGTGTGGATGTGGATGTGGATGTGGATGTGGGTGTGGATGTGAATGTGCATGTGGGTGTGGATGTGGATGTGGGTGTGGGTGTGGATGTGGGTGTGCATGTGGGTGTGGATGTGGATGTGGATGTGGGTGTGGGTGTGGATGTGGGTGTGCATGTGGGTGTGGATGTGGATGTGGATGTGGATGTGGGTGTGGATGTGGATGTGGTGTGGATGTGGATGTGGGTGTGGGTGTGCATGTGGATGTGGGTGTGGGTGTGGGTGTGGGTGTGCATGTGGGTGTGGGTGTGCATGTGCATGTGGATGTGGGTGTGGGTGATGTGGTGTGGTGTGGATGTGGATGTGGATGTGGGTGTGGATGTGGGTGTGCATGTGGTGTGGGTGTGGGTGTGCATGTGCATGTGCATGTGGATGTGGGTGTGGGTGTGGGTGTGCATGTGGATGTGGGTGTGGATGTGGATGTGGATGTGGATGTGGGTGTGGATGTGGTGTGGGTGTGGATGTGGGTGTGTGCATGTGGGTGTGGGTGTGGGT